CTAACCAAAGCCAACTGTGGTTGTAAATGTGGACTACGGGGCACTGCTGAAGATTGGGAATGTAGAAATTATGATTAGTTAATATTTTATCTTCAAGAAAAAAACTTACATTTTTACTTGTCCGTCGGTGAGAATCGAACTCGGGACTTCCGTGCGAGGAGCGAACGGCCTACATACTGGGCCATTGTAGCATTTAAATTTGCTGTGGCAAACCGAGCATTGTATGTAAAGGGTGAAGCGGACAACACATTTGAATACTAATTGCATAATTTTAAGCATTCGCGTTTTACTTATTTACATACGTATGTATATACATATGGATATCACTATGGACGGCAGTCCATGTAGTGACGAAGCGCACCAGGAGAGTGTGCGAAGGCGACTACTATTATATAGCCGCAAAATTGAAAATTTGCTGTGATAGTCCGATCGTAATGAGTAATACACCAAATGAAAGGTATTGCTAAAACTTAAAGGATTGCATACCAAGACCTTAAGAAAATCAATTGGTTTGGGAGAAAGAGCGGTGAAAGTGTAAAAGTAAAAATTTAGAAATTTGGATCTGTTGGGGCCGTTGGGGATAAATGCCCCCTCGCAAGGTTTTAGTAGTTTTCCTATTGAAAATACCCGTCGAATGAGGGGTCATATGATAAAATCCGACGCACCGTTCAAAAGTTATAGCAAAAATAAGATTTTCTTCTTCTTCCCAAAATGAAATAATTTGTCCCTTTGTTTGTGGGTATGCATCAAATCGTGGTTTTAGGATCCTGAACTAAATTTTACTGTGTTTAGCAGCAGGATATGAAAAACTTTTGTTCTACGACTTTTGGAAAAACCCGCCAGTTTGGCGGGAAATTATTAAAAAAAGCTAGATTTTGAAGGCTTATAGTTTCTAAACGACTAAAGCTACCGACTCGTGCTATACCTCGATGTAAATATAATTTAAAATGCTAGTCACGCTGCCTTTGCTAAAATTTGCTAAATGCAATGGTTTAAAATTCATGGCTAAAAGTTGTTTTTTTAAAACAGTTTTCTGCTATTTTCTCAAAAACGGCTCTAACGATTTCTGTTTAACTTTGAAACTACATAGCCCTTGAGATTCCTCAACTTTTGATATATAACACTTTTTGTCATAAATTCGATCGTTTGGATGTAATTCAGCGATTAAAAGTGCAACCCGTTTCAGTTTAGTATGGAAAACACTGCATGCTTACTCGAATGCCCAAAAACCAATAAGATGAGAACAAATTCTTATTAGATATTTTTAAGGTACATATTAGGAAAACATACGTGCAAAGCAAAAACTTCTGATATAAAACAAAAACACCTCTTAACGAGGTAACAAATTGTGACGATCGCACCTTCAACGTACAAAAGTTCTGATATCAACTTTTGTGACGAAAAATTATTTTAGATGCGAATAAATAAATACACTACCTAAAATTTATTCATTCGGCACGCTACAACAGAAAACTTTCGTGTAGATATTAAATATTTGCTAAAGCGGGCCGAACGAGTAAATTTTAGGTAGTGTATTTATTTATTCGCATCTAAAATAATTTTTCGTCACAAAAGTTGATATCAGAACTTTTGTACGTTGAAGGTGCGATCGTCACAATTTGTTACCTCGTTAAGAGGTGTTTTTGTTTTATATTTATGCTAACGCAATTTATATTATGTGTAGTATATAGTAAATAGCTGCATATAAACCTAATTATTTTCGGTTTACCGCTTGCCATCAATAAAAAAGGGAATAAAAAAAACGAGTAAAAAAAAGGAAAAAAAAAATAATAAAAAAAAGACTAAAAAAAAACTTTAAAAAAAAAGTAAACAAAGTTTCTTTGGGACTCGAACCAGCGCCGATTCGATTTCTAACTACGTGCTTTAGCCGTCTGCGCTACGAGTACAGCCGCCAGAGTGCTGACAAGTTCTGGCATTGAACATTTTGGTGTGCCAGAGCATGTGGAAACAACTATTTCTATTTTTTAGAAAAACTTTCTACTTTTTAGAAAATGTTTCTATTATTTAGGGTTAGCTTAATTTTAGGGTTAGGGCACTCATTTTTAGAAAAGGTGTTGCCAAAATATTTTATTATTTTCGTTTACCTTTCTATTTTTCAGAAAATAATTTCTAATTTTAAGGGCATTTTTTCTAGATTTTAGGGTGATTTAGTTCATGGTAACTATTTTCTTCATTTAAGAATAACTTCCTTGATTTAAGAAAAATTTTCTTGACTTAAGAAAAATTTCCTTAGATTTAGAAATAACTTTCTTGTATTTAGAAAAAATAAATTATAATGGCTATTTTCTAAAATTTAGGGTAAAATTTATTTTGAGTGTAAGATTGGAAATGAAATTAAATGTATTTAAATGAACAACTCTGCTTACAACATAAATACCTTCATTTTTATATTCCGTATCTTTATATATTACCAGCTTTACCCGGAGCGACTTCGTTCGCTTAAAAATAGTTTGCAGTTAGGAAATTAGGTTGTCAGGACTTTCTTATCACTATGGACGGCAGTCCATGTAGTGACGAAGCGCACCAGGAGAGTGTGCAAAGGCGACTACTATTATATAGCCGCAAAATTGAAAATCTGCTGTGATAGTCCGATTGTAATGAATAATACACCAATCGAAAAGTATTGCAAAAACTTAAAGGATTGCATACAAAGACTTTAAGAAAATCAATTGGCTTGGGAGAGAGAGCGGTGAAAGTGAAAAAGTGAAAATTTCGAAATTTGGAGCTGTTGGGGCCGGTGGGGATAAATGCCCCCTCGCAATGTTTTAGTTGTGTTCCTATTGAAAATACTCGTCTTCCCAAAATAAAAACTTAATTCTTTTTGTCAGTTTGCAAAAAGTTTTTTAAGTTTTGAAAATTTGATATGACGTTCATCACATCGATATAAAAAACTTTTGTTCTACCACTTTTGGAAAAACTCGCTAGTTTAGCGGGAAAACAGCTATAAATAGCATCTCGTTTGAAAGGTATTTTTAAATGCTATAAACGCCTTCTACTTGCAATTTGTGTAAATGTAATAGTTAAAAAAATATGAACAAAAGAACATTTTTTTAAACTTTTTTTTAAGCTTTTTTTTAATTTTTTCAAAAAGGGCTCTAACGATTTTCAAATTCGTGTAAATGTAATAGGTAAAAAGATATGAACAAAAAACAATTTTTTAAAACTTATTTTTTAACTTTTTTTTTATTTTTCTCCAAAAACGGCTCTAACGATTTTCTTTAAAACTTTAAAATGCATAGCCCTTGAGATTCCTTAAATTTTGGTATATAACACATTACTGTAAAAAGGCACGTTTAAAAGTTATTTTTATACGAAAATAGACACTTTTGCCAGCTCGAACTACTAACGCTCCCTGAGTATTGCATTTTGTGTGAGGGTATCCGAACTGTATTTTAGGGTCATGGAATCAGTAAATTTGCACCTGAGAGTTCCATATAGGAATCTTTTGTTCTACGACTTTTGGAAAAAGCTACATTTCGTTAGTTTGTACACTCAAAATAAATTTAACCCTAAATTTTAGAAAATCGCCATTAAAATTTCTTTTTTCTAAATACAAGAAAGTTATTTCTAAATCTAAGGAAATTTTTCTTAAGTCAAGAAAGTTTTCCTTAAATCCAGGAAGTTTTTCTTAAATGTAGAAAATGGTTACCATGAACTAAAATCACCCTAAAATCTAGAAAAAATGCCCTTAAAATTAGAAATTATTTTCTGAAAAATAGAAAGGTAAACGAAAATAATAAAATATTTTGGCAACACCTTTTCTAAAAATGAGTGCCCTAACCCTAAAATTAAGCTAACCCTAAATAATAGAAACATTTTCTAAAAAGTAGAAAGTTTTTCTAAAAAATAGAAATAGTTGTTTCCACATGCTCTGGCACACCAAAATGTTCAATGCCAGAACTTGTCAGCACTCTGGCGGCTGTACTCGTAGCGCAGACGGCTAAAGCACGTAGTTAGAAATCGAATCGACCCTTGTTCGAGTCCCAGAGCAAACTATTTTTTACCTTTTTTTAAAAGTTTTTATTTATTTTTTTTTTGTAATTTTTTTTTTTAATTTGTTTTTTTACTCTTTTTTTTATTCCTTTTTTTTATTGATGGCAAGCGGTAAACCGAAAATAATTTGGTTTATATTCAGCTATTTACTATATACTACACATAATATAAATTGCGATAGCATAAATATATACATATGTATGTATGTATGTAAATAAGTAAAACGCGAATGGTCAAAATTATGCAATTAGTATTCAAAATATTAACTAATCATAATTTCTACATTCCCAATCTTCCGCAGTCCCGTAGTCCACATTTACAACCACATTTGGCTTTGGTTAGATAAGAAATCCAAGCGCAAATACATAATAATAAATACATAACCTTTAACATTCACAATATACAAGACACACAACGCCTGCATATGTATATAGGGAGGAGTACATAATATAAACGAATATACAAAAAAAAATCATGATTGAACATGTTTTTTTGTTTTGTTTTTAATTTCTATTTTTTAGGAAAATTTCCTACTTTTTAGAAATTTTTGCCCTTAAATTTAGTAAAATTACCCTAAAATTTAGAAATATGACGTCAAAAAAAATCAAAAATATAGAAAAATGTGACCCTAAAATTTAGGGCGAGCTTGTCTTGAAGACAAAAGTAGGGCGATTTCCTTGACTTTAGGGTTAATTTTATTTTGAGTGTAGGAAGTTGGCGCGGCAACAAATAAATTTGAAATTCTAAGCATTGACAAATTTCTCAGTCCTCCTTTACATGTACTCCCAATAAACAATGGAAAATCGCATATTAGAATTAAACGTACATACATATCTAAGTAAATTAACATTGTAAGGTTTCCAATGTATTATGACTGTATCAACCTTTTAAAATAAAACAATGATTTTTTGTCAAAATAAATTTTACTTGTGTGATAATTTTTATTATATTAAATTGGTTTTTTTAATTAATTTTCACTCGTAGATTATCGGACAAAAAAATTGATAATTTTTGTAGTTCATAAATACAATATAGTTTTTTTTGTTTTAGAACATTTTCTTAATTTAAGAATAAAATTGTCTTATTTTAGGAATGTTTGGTCTTATTTTAAGAACGTTTGTTCTTATTGTAAAAACGAAATTTAGGAACTAAAGTTTCTTAAATTAAGAACTTTGTTCTTAAATTTAGACTGGGTTTTTTCCCTCAGTGTAGAGTCCTAGATCACGTCAAGGTTTGGCTCATCATCTGACGGGTGAGCAGCACTTTTGATTTAAAGCCGAAGGCAACAAGTGGAGCCACCTGGAAAGGCTCGCGCCCGCGTGTCTCCGGCAAGTAGCGTTTCGTTATGCCAAAGAGCAGCAGGCAGGTTACTGAGAACGGTAAGAAGACCAACGCGCCCCAGATTTTCTGTAAAGTGGGGAAGGCCATACCAATGATAAAGTTGCAGATCCAGTATACTACGCTACCCAGGGACATGGCAGCTGGCCGGGAAGCAAGTTCAAACAATTCTATTAAAGAAGAAAAAAGACGTCGGTTAACCAGCGATTTTTGGGCAGTACAACGCACCTGCTCCGATGAAGAAGGGCATAGGGCCTAGTCCAAACTGAAAGAAAAATATGTATAGGAAAATACAGGCTATGCAGCCCATGGCGAACCAGCTATAGCTCTCCTAAAAGTGTGAGAAAGACTGTAATATTCTGTCCTCGTGATTATTGTTTTACGACTACTTACAATAAAGTAGAGCATCATGGAAAATAAGAAGAGAAAGACAGTACAGAAAAATGTAGAGAAAAGCATCAGTGGCCGTCGATTTACTCGTTCGAGCAGAATCGGGCCCAACATAGAGGTGGCTAAATTGAGGGAGCCCGCCGCCAAGTTGGCCCACTCTGATGCCTGGACTGACAGACCCGCTTTGCGGAAGATCGAGACGGAGTAATAAAAGATCTGCAGGGACAAACGGAATTAGGTGACCTGCTGGAAATTCTTGGGGAGGGGCCAATACGTACTGCATTAATGCCCGATAACTGTTGGCCTCCAAGAAAGGCGCATACGATAATCAGTGGCAGACGCAATTTTGGATCAAGCAGCACCTGTACCAATCCGCGTGCTTTCACCTTGGAAGCAGCCTCTAGCTCCATTTCATCTATCTCTGCCTGCAGAGCGGAGCTGCCAGCTGTGTAGCCCCTCAGCTGCTGCAATTGGCTACGGGCCTCTTCCTTGTGCCCCTTAACGACGTACATCCACTTGGGGCTCTCGGGATACCAGCTAAAGGGAGCATAGCACACTGCTACGAGGAGGCCATAAAAGGCCAGTCCAAAGTGCCAGTTTTCAGGACTTCCTAGCACCGACCGGAGGCTACAAACCTGCGCCACTACTACTCCCAGGGTCAAGCCCATCGGACAAAGGGGAGATAATGTACTGCGCTGATTTAGAGACGAGATCTCGCTGTGCCACATGGGCATGAAGGCTGTAAGGAGACCGCCGGCCAGTCCAACCAGCAGCCGACCAAGCATCAAAAGCTCCACGGCATTCAAGGGACGACACGCATAGAAGCTAATGGATCCTAGCATCAGAAGAATGCCACAGATGAAGAAGCAACCGCGGCGTCCGAACCTGTTGGCCATAGAAGCGCCCACCACTGATCCGATGGCGCCTCCCACGAGAAATATCGAGACAAGGGCCGACCACAGTAGCTCTAACCCTGACTCTCCCAAATCCAGATTATAGCGTGCAATCAGAGTCTCGTTGCACCAGGAGCGCATAAGCTGGGGATTAAGTAAGGAAACCGGCGAAATCAAGTGGCTCTGTCGAAAATGAACAATATTCACCTCAGCGGGACTGTTCATCACACCCGTGCAATACCCCACTGGAACCGCCGCTCCAACCGATGATCCGAGTGCCGCCCACTTGAGGGTCCAGGTCCACTGGGGCATCTCATCCTGAAATCGCTTACTGATAGGACTTTTCTTAAGAAATTAGTTATTCTTTGCCGGACCTGTTTCGTATTTGTGCCTGCCATTAGCGACGCCTCTGAAAAACTCAATGAGCGTTCCTGAAGCAATTGTCCGCCTTTTGGCTTTTCCATTGCGCATCTGCCTGGTAAAACGTTCTTATGAGGCGCTTTTGTGGGCGGAACGGTGCTTAGTTAGCATGTTATTGCATATCGTATATCATTCGCGTCGACGACACCTCCATTTCACAGAGATTTAGGAACACGTTTATCAAACGCGGAGATAACCGATAGCATAGTCATCCGAACGCGCTAGGGGCATGGCATACTGTATCTATAATGAAAATGTGCTATGTTACTTAATAACCTCAAATGCCTTAGCAAAGTTCTCCAACTTTATTTTATTTATAATGAGCAAATCAGTTTTTTATATATTACACTACAACAAAGGCTGATCCTCACAAAATTATCTTAGTATAGACTAATCTTAACAATCTGTATATTTAGCTTTTTTTCCTATATTTGTAAAAGCGCTTTGAAAAAAAATTACTACATTTAACGATAAGATTCCTTCGAAAGCCACCCAGTTCTTCCACACCCAGAAAAATAAGTCGTCGATTTAACTCCAATGACTTTAATTTAAGGAATAATTTAGTAACCTGGCTAAATAATAGACTTTATAATAAGCCTCCGATATATTGATCGAAAACAAGAAAACACACACGAGGTAAAAAACTACGGTCGATAGCACCTTCAAATTACCACAGTTTAAATATAAACCTTTGTGACTAAAAATAATTGTGAAATCGATTAAATAAATACACTTTCTAAAATATTCTTATTTGGCACGCAAGAATCTTAAATGTATTTAATATTTTAAATCGTTCGCCAACTCTTGCCAAAAGTTTAAGCTTTTGTACTGGCGTTTTTTCTTGCATTTTAGCTTGCTTCTAGTTATTTTTCGCCAAGGCTTCATCATGCTGCTTAATACCCCAAAACAAGAAATGGAACTAACTTTGGCAAAAATAAGTTTATGTAGCCATACAGACATTGCCTTTAAATTATCAATAAGTCTTAAAAGAATTAAAAAAATGTAAGATGTAAAATTACTTGTGGATAAAGCAAAAAAAAGGTAAATGACAAACTTTCACCATTGATTGCATGATACCATAACATGTAGAATTACTTGTGTATAATGATAAAAAATGGTAAATGTCACAATTTCACCATTGATACCCTAGGGCCTAGGTCCCACGGACCACAACGTGGAGGCTGTTGCTTTGCAAATTATTTGGATTTTGCATCAACATTTTTTTGCCTTTAGGCCTAGTACTCACTTTAATCAAAAAGCCCACGAAATTAAAATCTCCATACAAAATTTTGAACACGAAACGGATTTCTAGTGATAGGCGACAGGATTAACCGTCTTCGAAAACAAAAATCTAGAATTTTTTGTTCCTTTGCTAATTTGTTTGACTTTACCCACCCATCCTTTTTTTAGGTTGATAAAACTGGCCCAGAATATAAAAAAACAAGAGAGAACGCTATAGTCGGGTTGGTTTCCCGACTATCTAATACCCGTCACTCAGCTAAAGGGAGTGCGAGGGAGATAGATATATAAATTTTGATTGCGTATAACTTTTTAATGAATGGTCCGATTTGAAAAATGTCTTCTACATTTCGATAGGTATAAATATACACAACAAAATTGCATTTATACTTCTCGGAAATCTTTAAAGATGTGGGCGCAGGACCCATTTTAAAATCGTTAGTGGGCGATTGTGGGCGTTAGAGGGGGCGTGGCGCTCGGCTAAGATAAACTTGCGCTGTGTAGGAAGCCAAAGAATATGTGTGGGAAATCTCAACCTTCTAGCTTTTGTAGTTTCTGAGATCTCAGCGTTCATACAGACGGACAGACGGACGGATGGACAGACGGAGAGACGGACAGACGGACATGGCTAGATCGACTCGGCTAGTGACCCTGATCAAGAATATATATACTTTATGGGGTCGGAAACGCTTCCTTCTAGCTGTTACATACTTTTGCACGAATCTAATATACCCTTTTACTCTACGAGTAACGGGTATAAAAATGTTCAAGGAATGACAAAATATTTAAACGATACTATAGACAATAATGGATAGAATGTCAAATATCAAGTTAAGTTTATTAAATAAACTTTATTTCCTAAATGTATATTAATTTTATTTTACCTTATGGAAACTTTGAGACCGATAAAACATAATTTCGAAATTTGTAGCTGTTGGGGCTGGTGGGGATAAATGCCTCCTCACATTATTTTAGTTATGATCCTATTGAAAATACGCGTTGAATGAGGGGTCATATCGTAAAATTCGATGTTCAGTTCAAAAGTTATACCCATAAGATGTTCTTCTTCTTCCCAAAATGAAAATTTTATTCTGTTTGTCAGTTTGTCTGTCTGTCGCAAAACCTTATTTTAAAGTCTTCAAAATTTTATAAGGTATTTAACAAATTGATATAAGAATCTTTAGTTTACCACTTTTGGAAAAACTAGCTAGTTTAGGAAAACAGCTATAAATAGCGAGTTTTTGAAAAGCCGTAACTTCTTTCTACAAAAGCTACTTGCACTATACCTCATTTTAAAGGTATTTTGAAATACTATAAACGTTAGTTACCTAAATACAATTTTTTAAAAGTTATAGAAAAACAAAAATTTTTTGTATTAAATTTAAACTTTTTTGTATTAAATTTAAACTACATTTTTTTAAGCTTTTTTTATTTTTCAATAAAGGCTCTTACGATTTTGTTTAAAACTGTAATCTGTAGTCCTTCAGATTCTTCAAATTGGGGTGTTTGACTCGTTATTGTAAAGTCAGGTTCAAAAGTAATTGAAAAACAACAAGAAAGGAAGCTACCTTCGGCCAGCCGAAGCTTATATACCCTTGTAGATAAAGTAATGCTTACTCGGTGCAGTTCCAGGAATTCCAATTTTGTTTTTAAGTAGTCAAGGATCAAAACGCCTACTTCCTACAAAGTTACAATGAATTTTCATATATTTGTTTGAATTTTCCTATGGGAGCCTTAAGATATAGTGGTCCGATCCGGCTCGCTCCGACATATGTACTACCTGCAATAAAAAGAAGAATTTCGGGAAAGTTTCATCGCGATAGCTTTAAAACTGAGAGACTAGTTCGCATAGAAACGGACAGACGGACAGACGGACATGGCTAGATAGACTCGGCTATTGGTGCTGATCAAGAATATATATACTTTATGCGGTCGGAAACGTCTCCTTCACTGCGTTGCAAACATCTGACTGAAATTATAATACCCTCTACAAGGGTATAAAAATAGCCACTTTTGCCAGCTCAGAACAAATATCGCTACTTGAGCATTAATTTTCGTTTGTGCGTATCGGAACTCTATTTTTAGGTCCTGGAAACATTTAAATGATGTTAAACAGCTCTTTGTAAGAAACTTTAGTTTTACGACTTTTGGAAAACCCCGCTGGTTTAGCGGGAAAACAGCTAAATAGCTCAATTTCGCTATTGAAATGTGCCACATGTCGTCAAAAAAGTATTTTTAAATCCTATGCACAAAATAGCAAAAACGGTTTTAACGATGATTTCCTTTTAAATTTCGGATCTCTTTCTTTGTTCCTATAACAGCAGAAGGGTAAAGTATAAATAACGTTCAAACCAAAACTTTTGATATCAAATAAAAACACCTCTTAACGTGGTTAAAACTAGTGACGATCTCACCTTCAACATACAAAAGAAATGATATCAACATTTGTTACGCTGCAATACAAAATGTCTGTAAAGGGAAAAAGTCTGGAATAGTTGGCTGGGGCGGGCCGAATATAATGACGAGTGTAATCACTATGGACGGCAGTCCATGTAGTGACGAAGAGCACCAGGAGAGTGTGCGAAGGCGACTACTATATATACACGAAGAAATGAAAATCTACTGTGATGGTCCGATCATAATGAATGATACACCTATCGAAAGGTATTGCGAAAACTAACAGGATTGCATACCAAGACTTTAAGAAAATCAATTGGCTTGGGAGAGAGAGCGGTGAAAGTGAAAAAGTGAAAATTTCGAAATTTGGAGCTGTTGGGGCCGGTGGGGATAAATGCCCCCTCGCAATGTTTTAGTAGTTTTTCTATTGAAAATTCCCGTCGAATGATGGGTCATATGATAAAATCCGATGCTCCGTTCAAAAGTTATAGCCAAAATAAGATTTTCTTCTTCTTCCCAAAATGAAATAATTTGTCCCTTTGTTTGTGGGTATGCATCAAATCGTGGTTTTAGGATCCTGAACTAAATTTTACTGTGCTTAGCAGCAGGAGATGAACAACGTTTGTTCTACAACTTTTGGAAAAACCCGCTAGTTTGGCGGGAAATCATTGAAAAAAGCTAGATTTTGACGGCTTATAGTTTCTAAACGACCAAAGCTACAGACTCGTGCTATACCTCGTTAAAAAGGTAATTTAAAATGTTAATCGCGTTGCCTTGGGTAAAATTGGCTTAATGCAATAGTTTAAAATTTATGGCTAAAAGTTGTTTTTTTAAATCACTTTTTAGCTATTTTCTCAAAAACGGCTCTAACGATTTTCCTTACAACTTTAAACTGTATAGCCCTTGAGATTCCTTAAATTTTGGTATATAACACATTACTGTAAAAAGTCACGTTTAAAAGTTATTTTTATACGAAAATAGCCACTTTTGCCAGCTCGAACAACAAACGCTCCCTGAGTATTGAATTTTGTGTGAGGGTATACGAACTGTATTTTGGGGTCATGGAATCAGTAAATTTGCACTTAAGAGTTCCATATAGGAATCTTTTTTTCTACGACTTTTGGAAAAAGCCGCTACTTTAGCGGAAAAAAAGCTAAAAATAGCTAAATTTCGTTAGTTTTTAAGTTCTACACTACTAAAGGTACAGAAATGTGCTATACCTCGTTTTAAAGGTATTTTGAAATACTTAAACGCCTTTTTAACTTAATTTGTTTAAATACAATGGCTTACAAATTATGATTGACCAATTTAAATTTAAATGTATATACTAGCTCCCATGAGAGCAAATGTAAACAAACAAAAACTTCTGATATCAAATAAAAACACCTCTTAACGAGGTAAAAAACTAGTGACGATCGCACCTTCAACATACAAAAGTTCTGATATCAACATTTGTGACGAAAAATTATTACACTCGTCATTAAATAGACTTTCTAATATTTTCTCATTCGGCACGCTGCAATAGAAAATGCCTGTGAAGGGAAAAAGGCTGGAATAGTTTGCTAGGGCGGGCCGAATGAGAAAATATTAGAAAGTCTATTTAATGACGAGTGTAATAATTTTTCGTCACAAATGTTGATATCAGAACTTTTGTATGTTGAAGGTGCGATCGTCACTAGTTTTTTACCTCGTTAAGAGGTGTTTTTATTTGATAATTCTTCGTCTCAAATGTTGACATCAGAACTTTCGTAAGTTAAAGGTGCGATTGTCAGTTGTTTTTACCTCGTTAAGAGGTCTTTTTATTTGATTAAGCAAATAATAAAACTAAGATTTTTATTTTCCCAAGAGATATTATTCTTAGGCAATAGCCAATTGTGGATACAAAAATTTGTATTGTGTAGTAATAAACTTGTAGTTTTATGGGTGACCTAAGTTGGGTGTTAGACACTGATGGTGCGGAAAATGTTAAATCCACTGTGGGCTGTAGAGAGCAATACTCCCGGCAGTTGAGCGTGCCAGTGGAGTTCCTTAATTTCCTTCTGGCCCTGGTGAATAAAAAGCAGCTGGGGTGGCAACTTGCTAAGTTCATCTTCGTTCTGTGCCGGGGCCTGCGCCTGATCGGTGTCTTTCTCCACAGCCAAGTCCCATAAAGCAATTTGGTCGTCGTCGCCGCCAGAGGCCAGGACGGTAGCCTCACTGGGACTCCAATCCACTGTGGTGATGTGGTCCGTGTGGTGTTTAAATGTGGCAATGGGCTTCCCGCCCTGAAACTGGCGTAGATCCCAAATGTGCAGGCAGCCGTCATCACCGCCACTGGCGATGAATGGCTCAGTGCGATTCCACGAAATTACGTTTACGTCGCTCTCATGAGCGTCCTGACAAGTTATCATGCAAGCCTTCTGCGGCGCCGCTCGGCAGTCCCAAATGCGGATCGTCTTGTCCACGGAGCAGGACGCTAGCACGCTGCGCTCGTTTGGGCTCCACTGCAGATCCTCAACCGACTGCGTGTGGCCTGCCAGCGGGCGTTGGTCCACCTTCCACGTGCCGTCCTGCAGGGGACTCCACACGTGAATGTCCCGCCGGCAGTCTCCTGTGGCCAGCACACCCTCCGCACTGGGACTCCAGTCTAATGCGAAACCCTCCTGCTGGTGGCCACCGAAGGTAAATACAGGACGGGCCTCGTTTTGTTCGTATTGCTTGAGAAGCTGAGCATCCTCCACGGCCTGCAGCGGCTGGGTCAAATTCCATATGTTGACGCGGCCAAGCTCGCTCCAGGACGCGGCGTACACCGTGTTGCCCAAGCGGCGAGCACGAACGCGATTTACACATCCTTGATGCTTGATCAGGGCGCAGGTCATCTGTGGCTTCTTAAGCTCCTCGCGGTTGGCAACATCATCCTGGTCGTCCTCCAACTCCTCGTCGTCGTCGTCGTCATCGTCCTGCGTCTTGTGCAGGTTGCTCATCTTCATCACAATAAGGTTGTTGACGTGGGTTCGGGAAGCTTGCGTGCCGGCGACAATATAAGCAGTTATAGGAAACGACTGCCGCTCTGTGCCCAACTCGTCGGGAATTACGTCAAAGCTTAGGCATGGAGCTCCCGTGGAAGCTTGGTGCAGCATCACGTATGCACTCTCGTCGCAGACAAGTTCCTCGTTCTCGGCCAGTTTGTTTCCCGGCAAATATACCTCTTTTGGCTTGAGTTCATCGTTATCGTCCTCCGCGTCCGAATCCATGTCGCTTTCCGCATCCTCGGGCTCCACCAAATCCATTTCGATGTCATCTGCATTCATAGTGTTTAACGTTATATTCTTCTACTCTTCTACTCTACTTGTTTGGGACAGCACGTGCAGTTTACAAATTTAGAGAGACCGTACATCTGATTTAAATAAAAGACAAATAATTGGTCTTGTTCATCAGAACCTCTGAACGCGAATAAAATAGCCTCTACACACAGCTGCTTAAAATTTATAGGGGGATTCCCTAAACTGTTGAATTGCTGAATTGTTGAATTTTGGTCAGCTGTTAATCAGCTGTTCCATACAAAGTCAACTTTCAGAAATTTCAGCAATTCATCAGCCTCGGGGCTGCTGAAAATTTTGTTGAATTGCTGAAAAGCCAGAGTTGTCACCTTTTTTTGAAAGTCGTGGCAACTCTGTAACATTTTAGTATCACCAGTACGCATTATTTATTTTAAAATCAACTTAGAAAGCATATTTGTGGTTCTTTTTACCTTGCTAACACTTTTAGACAGTAACTAGCAATAATAAATCATGCTTACATGCTTTAAGTTCCGTGAAACTTTTCAACAAATAACAGCTGTTTGAAAATTCAACAGGAACCATTTTGGGTCGTTCCCTTAATTGCTGAAATTTTTTGTTGAATTTTCAACAATTCAGCAATTCAACAGTTTAGGGAATCCCCCTTATGTATCACACAAGCGCCCGATTATGCAAAAGCAGCAGTATTCGGCAGAAGAACAAGTTTAGAAGCTTTTCAAAACTGTTTTAAAATTAAGTTTTCCTGCTTATAGTCTAAGAAATAATATTATTTATTATTATAATTATCTAAAACCCCCACCCTGCTTTTCGAGTACAGCTTTGAATAAGCAATATTCATAATATGAATTTCATATAACGAAATTGTAACCCAATATTAGTTTTATAGTCTATTAACACTGGGGTGGAGTTATGGGGTACTGTTAGGGTCTTTGGTGATTCGGAGTATTTTTTTGATATTTTTCGGTATATTTTGTATTTATTTCCTATAGGTGAAGGTCCATCCCTAGTCAAATAAACAACACAAACAACAAACACTAGATGTCATTACTCGATATTTGAAGATAACCCACTTTTTGGAGTAATCGGGTTATTGGCTCACTCGATAGGTTACCACACATAGTGTGACTAGACTATTAATTAATATTAGGTTTTACGTACGTACGTTCTGAAACATTTAGTTTTAGTTTTTTACAACAGGTTTGCGAATGCTTTTGCGTTTAGCCTAGTACTCAGTACAACGAAAACTGCTAGCTAACCATAGGTAGCTAACGCCTTTAGCTGGGACTTTTTCCCACCGCGGTACGTAGTTATAGCCTAGTACTCAGTTGGGCTAAGAGTTACACAGCCAAAGATCAAATTTTTTATTTTTTGGGCTAAAGGCGTTCATCGGAATTCATCCGCTAAATCTGGTATTTTGTTGGTATTTCCTTACAATTTCCTTAGCTCAACTGAGTACCGCGGTGAAAAAAGCCCCCGTCTAAAGGCTTTAGCTACCTATTTGCCTCTCTCTTACTCCTATGCTTAGCTAGCAGTTTTCGTCGTAAGCCTAGTACTCAGTACGACGAAAACTGCTAGCTAAGCATAGGAGTAAGCGAGAGGCAAATAGGTAGCTAAAGCCTTTAGCTGGGACTTTTTTCCACCTCGGTACTCAGTTGAGCTAAGGAAATAGTAAGAAAATACCACTAAAATACTAGATTTAGCGGATGAATTCTGATGAACGCCTTTAGCCGCGGCCCAAAGAATAAAAAATTTGATCTTTGGCTGTGTTTGTGCAGAAGCGGTGTACCAATAACATATTATAAATAGAATGAAAACCCCAAAAACCAATGGAAAACTGCCTGTAGGAGTTGTAGCAATACATATCCTCATTCCAACAGCAAATTTAAAGCTTGCGACCTAGGTCGGCTAATCATTTTGTAATATTTTAAAATTTCCGCCAGTTAATTTGCTTGCTGAGAGTAAGACCATTCTACATGCATTGCGGATGAACTCCGAAAACTTCGGTCACCCTAAAATATTAATATTTTTCGACTAGTAAAACTCTTAGCCGAACTGAGTACTAGGCTGTACTGAGTACTAGGTTTAAATGCGTTAGCTACAGTTACGATCATGAAAATATTAGTGCACTTACGTTACTTTTTAAAAGTTTCACTGTGGCTATATTTCTATACCAATTGAAACCGATTCGGATTCTTTTGTTAGTTAAGACTACTTAGAGTACAATTCAGCCAAAACCCGATCCAAAATTTGGTTTTTACCAAAGCATGCAAATAACTGTTAACCGTTTTTTTTTTTACGCTCTACTCCCGAGAACAACCGAAAAATAGCATGCCCCTCGTTCTCTCTCTGCGCAGCACACTTCGTTTCCTTTCGTTTTGGTTTTCGGTTGAGCCTTTTACGTTGAGCTGTTCGTGAGACGCTCTGTTACATACCTCGTTCAATGAGAGATACGAATGTCACTCGCACAGGGAGACTTATTAAAAGACCGATTGACTGAAAAAGTCATCGCAAAAAGTCTTTTCACTAATACAACTATACAATGTATTCCCTTTGAAAGTACGTGCGAGTGAAAGGGAAAGCAATATCGCCCAAGCACGTTAACGTTAACACATGCGCAAAAGACTTTTTGAAACGTCGTTCAGGAGCAATCGGTCTGTAAGCGAGCCGAGCAAAAGAAAGCCGAAAAAACTGCTCGTCGGCTGAGTGCGAGCAAAATTTCTGTTCGAACAATTCAATCGGTTGCTCTCTGATTGTTTGCTCAAAGTCTCAGAGAAAAACAGTTATTTGGGGACCGCACGAATCGGTCAACTGTTATTTGCGAGCTATGGTTTATACCCATTTTATACCAATTTTTTAAAATTATGGCACAATTCGGGCGCTCACGAAAATAGTAGTGCCAGCGTTAATGACTAAAAAATATATTAAAACGCAAAGTTTTAAATCGGTTAATTTTTTTAAAATTAACTTTGTTATACCCTTGTAGAGAGTATTATAATTTCAGTCAGATGTTTGCAATGCAGTGAAGGAGACGTTTCCGACCACATAAAGTATATATATTCTTGATCAGCACCAATAGCCGAGTCTATCTAGCCATGTCCGTCTGTCCGTTTGTCCGTTTCTATGCGAACTAGTCTCTCAGTTTTAAAGCTATCGCGATGAAACTTTCCCGAAAGTCTTCTTTCTATTGCAGGTAGTACATATGTCGGAGCGAGCCGGATCGGACCACTATATCTTAAGGCTCCCATAGGAATATTCAAAGAAATATAAGAAATTGAAATTGAAATAAATAGAAACGCTGAATCTGAAATCTCTGGAACTGCACCGAGTGAGCATTACTTTATCTGCAAGGGTATATAAGCTTCGGCTGGCCGAAGGTAGCTTCCTTTCTTGTTTATTATTATTACAACATGTTTTTAGCTGGACGATCATACACTGTCGTTATCCTTTCGGAAACACATAAAACCGGTAATAAAAAAAAATAATAAAATGTGGTGGCTTAAATGCAAAAACATCTACATTTTAAAATCATTTTGTACGTCTTCGGTTAATTTAACACTATTAAGAGTAAAAACTTATATTAAAAACTAAAATTTAGCGATTTAGGTGGTCCCATCGCTTTTTATGTTGTAAAATTAAAAAATCGATCTAAATATGTGTATTATTGGATTAAATATTTTATTAACAACTGATTTAATAATGTTGTGCAGTAAAAAGTAAAGTTATACCGCCAAGAACAGTACAGCAAGACCAAGTTGCAATAAACTATAATATGCAAGTCTAGAGCTCGGCAAGATACTGAAGTAAGTCATGACCAGAGTGGCCAAAGTGCCACAACCAAGTTTATTTAAAGAATTTTGCTCTAAATACAAAGTAAAATTAACTTATAGGTACTTTTTGAAAATTTGTAGGCAGTAAATACCACCTATTGGTGGTATACGTATACGTGATTTTCGTATGAAACAATGTAATATAGTCCTAAGCTTGAACATTTTTTTAATTTAAATTTTTTTTTTGTAAGCTATCTTTTCTTTACATTAGTTTTTTACAAATTTTGGCTGGAAATGCTAATTTATAAAAATGTATAAAGAAGTTACAATGAATGTTAAAAAGAACTCATGAAAATTCAAAATTCAATAAATACCGCGTCGGGAACCTGTTTCTAATTAAACAACTATAGCTTCCTGTTTAAAAACTTAAAAAAAAATGTATAAAAATGAAAGCATCGAGAAACTTGCTGAAAATCGTATGATATTTGAGCAATAAAGTGTCGAAAATGCTCGAAGACCTTATTGCCAATATAATAAGCCAATAAAGAGTTTGAGTGTATAAAAATAAATTTTAATCGCTTTAGTTTAAGCAAAGCCAATATTTGGAATAGGAATTGAAAACAAAAACTTAAACTTTAAATATTTTTTTTAAATTTATTTTCACTCACTACTATTTTTATGAGCGGCATAAATGGTATAAAATGGGTAAAAACTAAAATTTGGATCGGTTTTTAGCTGAATTCTACTCTATGTAGTTTTAGCTAACAAAAGAATCCGAATCGGTTTCAATTGGTTTAGAAATATAGCCACAGAGAAACATTTATGAAGTAACGTAAGTGCACTACTATTTTCATGATCGCAGCTGTACCTATTTGCCTCTCGCTCACTCCTATGCTTAGCTAGCAGTTTTCGTCGTACTGAGTACTAGGCTTTAACTTTGAAAACTGTAAAGTTAATAGTTTTTTTTTTATCACCCACACAGCCATTACTAAACGACTTTGAGTTTTATTTTTGATCGAAATAATAAAACTCAGAGAATAAGTTTTATTTTTGATTTTTGAATAACTGTTATTTACCAAGCGGAAAATAAAACTCAGAGAATAAGTTTTATTTGTCAAGTTTTAGGGCTAGTACTCAACCCAACAAAAAGTCGTCCAAAACAAAAACTTCATATGAAACAAAATTTTTTGACGTTGTTTTTCATATGAAGTTTTTTGTTTTGGATTTTTTGTTGGGTTGAGTACTAAGCCTTATATAAAACTCATGACATAATGATTAAAAAGCGATTTTTAAAATAAAACTTATAACAGTTACGATCCCTGATCTTAACACATTTTTAAAATGTTTTGGGCTGTACAAAGTACATAAATGTTACTGTTTTTATCATGTACTTTTACAACATCGTGGAATTACCACATAAGTATGGCTGGCGTTGCCAGCCAGTCGGATGGAAAAATACCGAAACGATATCCAATCGACAGAGTCGAAACTTCCACACAAAATTGTCAACATTCCCTCGTGAAAAAAGTCGACTAACAAAAATTGAGCTGGAAATAATCATATCCCAGTATATCCAATCAAAATGGTGAAGTCGTCCAACCCCTTAAATATCTTTCGTAGCATCTACAACAACGAGTTCCAATGGTGAGTCTGCATTTTAATCTGACCCAATTAATCCGACTTTACATAACCGGTATCGAATTCTCGCCCACAGGATGCTGGTTAAGAGCTATGGGCTGTTTTTCCTGGGAGTGCGTCTGGCCAAGGAGTTTGTGGGTGTGGAGTTGATGCCGGCGCTGGGACCAGCCTAGTCATGAAATCAAATTTACCTTCTTTAGACATAATTAAAGTTAACTAAGTATAATACAAGATGTATATACAACTGAAAAAGTGTGATGAATATTAGCTTCTGCTGACCATCAGGTCCTTAATTTTTAACTCGTCAGAGTCAATCTCGGTGATCAGGCTGTCGGCCAACACGCTGGGCGTCATTTCGCGCTGCAAGAAGTTCGCTACCAGCTTCCGGCTGGGGATCGCTCCTCCGTGAGCCAAAATTTCGGAGCGGTACTTCTCACCTGCCTGGCGGTTAAAGGGGTTCGCTTCAAAGTACGTTTGCCAAATCCAGGAGGCGATTGTCTTCGAAACGAGATAGGCGTAGTACTTAGCTCCATAGCCAACTAGATGGGAGAAGCGCAGCTGCCATGCAGTGTTCTCTACGTAGGGAAGTCCGTAGTAACGGCTCTGCACTAATCGCAGTGTATCGGTGCTGCTGCAGCCCTGCCCCGCCTCTGATCCGTGGTACTCCTGGTCCAGAGCCGAGTAGAACACCTGGAGCTGTGTCTCACTGGCGGCGAAAAGGTGTTTGGAGGCACACAACCGCCTGAGCATGTCCTCGGAAATTGGCTTTTGAGTCTGGAAATGGCGTGCAAAGGTTCGCAGTACGCGTGGATCACTGGCGAAGTACTCCATTAGCACACTGGGGACCTCGGCAAAGTCCGTGGAGCAGCGCGTTCCCGTCACATGTTGGTGTTCGGTGCGAGCTAGCATTGAGTGCATAGCGTGGCCCATTTCGTGGAACAGGTTATCTACTCGCGCTGGCGACAGCAGAGTCGGTCCACTCCATCGCGGTTGCGGTAGACCCAGCATTACCACCACTACGGGCAGCTGGTATGAGCCGTCCGGCAGACGCTTACCGCCCTGGATGGTGAAGTGACAGTCTTGGTTTGGTTTTCCCACTCTCTCAAAGAAGTCGCAGTATATGTAGCCCAATAGTCCTTCCGTCTCGTGCGTCACGGCCAGCTTGTAGATGTCGTTGTGCCAGGACTCGCCGGGCTCCATTTCCGTATTCTCTAGCCGAACGCAATAGAGCGCCTGCAGCAGGTTGTCCAGTCCTTCCATGCAGCCACCAAGGGAGAAGTACGGAAGAAACTCGTTGGTCTGCGCTTTAAGCGATTGCCGCCTCAGCTGACTGGTGAAATAGGGTGTGTCCCAAACTTCCGCCATGGCGTCCGGCTGCCCGCCCTCCAGGCGTTTCATTTGAGTCATCCGGGCAAAGTCGGCATCAGCGCGCGGTCGCAGCTTCTCGGACAGGTGGTCTATAAACTCTCGGACTATCTCGGGTCTCTCCATGGTGCTGCCATTCAGGGCCCGATGAGCATAGGTTTCGAACCCACAGCTGCGGGCCAGCTCATGCCGGCAAAGCAGAAGGTCTCGCAGCAAATCCTCCTGACTTTCGGACGGCTGCAGGTACAGCCGGTAGGCAGCCTCTCGCATCTGAACGCTCTCCGCGTTTGTGCACAGTCCAGTGACAATTACACTGTCTCCGGAAGTGGGAAAGCTGGGAAAAAATATACTCAGAATTACTTAAATGGTAATACGTATTTAAATATGTACTAACTAGTTACGAATGGCCTCAGGGACGTGGCTGCGGGGAAGAACACTAGGTTGCAATGCGCCATTCATAAACTTCTGGCCCAGCTGAAGAATGTAGTCGTTCAGCCGCACAACCCGCAGACGTTCCTCTTCGGCCAAGTGAATGCCACACTGTTCAAAGTCGAACAAGAACAGACGAGCCACATGCCTGTCCACTTCGCTAGTTGGAAACTGGTCTCCATGCTCCACCACTTTGCTTAGGGCTTGATAGATAGGCTTGTTTGTATTGAGGCTCTCCACCACGCCGCAAATGCTGATGCAGGCCTGCTCTGCCGCCTGGGTGTACTTGCTCTGAGGATGCGCGATCCGTACGAACTCGGCCAGGTCTGCCACCTTGCACAACGAGTCGGAGAGCTCATCAAAAATATCGACCATCTTTCGTCGCCGCTGCGTAGAGATGGCTTCCGAGATGAGCTCCTGCGCCCGGCTCTCCACATTATCCCTCAATAGGTAGAATCCCTCAAAGCTTCGCAGCTCGGACATGCGGAAGAGACCCTGCAAGAGAAGCCTGATCACAGTGGCCCTGGTTTCAACGGAATCTGGTACTTACCACATCATCGCGGGTGAAGTTGATCCGCCTGGCTGGAGGCGCATTGAACGCCGTAGCCAATGGAGTCCATGTGGAGACCCAGCGACTTCGGTGCCGGCGTCGCCAACGCATCAAGGTACGGTTCACTATCATTGTGCTGCCCAAATTCCGACTGCTCGAATGGCTTGTTTATAATGGGAAGATTACATATGCAATCTGCTGTCGGCGAATTACCGTTAGGTTGCCAGATGCTTAGAATTTTGATGGCGGGAAACTAATAATTTGTGGCAACTCCATTATATTAGTTATAACACTGGACAACACAAGGGAAATTATTATTAGGTGCAGGCCTATGGGCATTAAAATATGGCCTCTTCCATATTGTCGCTCGGGACATTTGAACACCTTTAAAGCTGAAAAAATATTGAAAAAAAATAGATTTTAATTTTAATAATGGGGTTTTCCTTTCACTCTTTCTAAGCTCAATTTTTTGTACCACTTTTAGTTTTTAAGATATCAGGGGGATTCCCTAAACTGTTGAATTGTTGAAAATTCAACAAAAAATTTCAGCAATTAAGGGAACGACCCAAAATGGTTCCTGTTGAATTTTCAAACAGCTGTTATTTGTTGAAACTTTTTCACGGAACTTAAAGCATGTAAAATTTGATTTATTATTGCTAGTTACTGTCTAAAAGAGTTACCAAGGTAAAAAGAACCACAAATATCCTTTCTAAGTTGATTTTAAAATAAATAATGCGTACTGGTGATACCAAAATGTTACAGAGTTGCCACGAATTTCAAAAAAGGTGACAACTCTGGCTTTTCAGCAATTCAACAAAATTTTCAACAGCCCCGAGGCTGTTGAATTGCTGAAATTTCTGAAAGTTGACTTTGTATGGAACAGCTGATTAATAGCTGACCAAAATTCAACAATTCAGCAATTCAGCAGTTTTGGGGAATCCCGAATTCTGATGGAATATTTGAATGCGATTTTTTAAGAATGTTGTCCAAACATGTCGCTGTGGAATGGTTTTGGTTTTACTCAAAAATGGTTTTCCATTTCTTTTAATGCAGTTTTAAACACATTCGCTCGGGACATTTCTTCTCACCGTTTTGTAAAGTGAATTTCTTTACCTGTATCCCTCAATTGTTGGTTGTTTCGCTTTTATTTTAATAGTTTAACATGTAAATGAAGCATTCAGTACAGAAAAATGTCACATATTAGCATTCCTATAAGGATAATATTAACAAAAGAAAACATGTCCAAAAAATAAAAAAACAATAGCCAAAAACTAACTTTTGTGTATATTTTTGGGGTTTGTCATAAAAATAATCAAACTATACTGCAAATTTTTAGTTTAGCTCAGGATCCAACTAATTAGAAACTAATATGGCAGCCAAATCATGTGGAAATATATTTTTTTTTTCAAATTTCAAGTTTTTTGGCTTGTCGGACTTTTTGGTGGAAGTGCCCATATGGTAGTATAGACGTATAATAGGGTCTTCCCACAGAGCTCCATCCACCATTCACCATCCGTTGAACGGATGGTCTGCAAGGTTTTGCCGTTCCGAAAATTTCTTAGTTAGTCCGCCATCCAATTTTGACAGACTTTGACGGGCTCTTTTATCCGATAGTTAGGCGATGTTTTTTCGGTGCAACTCTAAATTTTTCCTTTTGACTGTAAAAATGACTGCTCATTTTTTTTGGCTATTGTTGAATTATTTGAAGTTTGTTATTAGCCAAAAGGCGTGCGCAAATTGGTTGCCATGAGTGGGCAAAATGTAAGCTGTTCTGTGTACGAAAACATCAATGTTTGCAGCGAACTCTCAGAAAATGTTCTGCACTTCGTAAATAATAATAAATTACCAAAACAGCACAAATTTGTTTTTTTGTTAAATTTGAATTTTAAAATGGCCTAGACAGAGGCGTAGTGTAACGGGGTGGTGAGGGGTACGGAAGGTTAGGCTCTCCCCCAGTCAGCAATTTGTATGCATTCCTGTTATAGGTTGTTATAAGCTCAGATATGTTTCTGAACTATTATCTTAATCTATTTATTATATTATTCTACAAAAGGATTAGGAGATTAGGAGCTGTTATTGGATGGTGGATGGAGCTCTGTGGGAACACGAGTTTCACATTTGTCAAAAATCCCAACCGTTTCACACGCATGGACTGTATTGGAAGAGGCTATTGGTCGATGTGAGTACTAGAGGTGGTTTTCGTCTAAGCAACCAAATTCCGCTTCACCAACTTTTTCTCAATAAGAAATGTATGTGCTAGAAAAAGACGGGGAATTTCGCTCCGCAACTCCGCTGCAGCGGAAAATAATCAGTGTTTCAAGATTTTATTTGCAATTGCCCAAGAACATAATTAAGTTTTTGTTGGTGCAAGGCCTTGCTCGGAACTCGGACAATTATTTCATCGTGAAAAGAGATATTGCCAAGCCTTTTTTTAGGGAATGACCTATTTGGCCAGACCTAGCATCTATAGCGTAGTTCAAAACGTAATTAGTTTGGAGTTGGGATCCATTTAATTTTCGGTAAAAACTAAATTTGCACGTCATTTCCCTTTGGTTTCGAGAATGTTTGCCGATCAGCGGCGCTTTAGCGATTCTCTAGGTGAGCACGTTTCCGCTTAAAGTTGGAACAGCTGTGTGCAGATGCTATAAAGGCAGAAACACTCCTGTCTGAACAGGCTATAAGCGCAAATGAATAATTTTATATTTTTTCCATCTCTATCGGCATGTTGTTAAAAACTTGCATCGCTATCGTCAGCGTGCCGCTTCCGAAATGAAGTCCGTTGTATGTTTGGTGTTATTAATTTTGGCTGCTGAATCAGCTAGGTTGAACCACCCTCGGGTGCTACTGCCAATATTTGAGTCGAGGAGCGTTAACTTTACTTTGGAAGTTGACGAGGCTAACTGCTACAAGTGGTAAGTTTGCGTCCTACTGTTCTGTCGTCGATTTAACCCTACTTTGGTGCATCTTGTAGGTCGTCCTCGCGCCAGGACTTGATTTCCGTCATGCCCATCTACAAGGGCTTCAATGAATGTGCATACCAGGCGGTGGTGACGGTTCGGACTCATGAGCGGCGCCGGAACACGGCGATCGTCTTGGCCGAGGATGTGCACACGGGCGAGACGCTGCGGTCCGATGTAATTGTGGATGCCATCGCCTCCCTTAACGTGCGCACAGCCACGCGCCAGCTTTACCTGGAGGAGGCGCCCGCCATGTTTGAGCTTCACGCCTTTGATGAGCAGGGCAATGAGTTCTTCACTTTGGAGGGGATTGAGTTTGACTGGGACATTTTGGAGGCCGGCAGCAACAAGCTTGCCGCAATGCACTACCTCACGTTCACGGATAGCCCCTACCATACTGTTCCGCCCGCCCTGGAGAAGTTCGAGGCAGTGGGCACCAAGGGGTATATGATTCTTCTTGAGGGAATTAACACTGGCACTGCCAAGGTCACCATTCGCATGCCTCAGGCCGAGTACCGGCACGTGCCGCCTATCGAAGTTTTCATAAGCGTCCTGGCAAACATTATTATAGAGCCTTCTGAGGTCACCATTCTGATCGGTGACTCCATCTCTTTTCGTATCCTGCAGCTGAAGATGGACCGACAGCACGTCATCGATAATAATCAGTATTACTTGGAGGTAGAGGACTCGAGCGTTGCTTTCATGCAGGGAAACAGTGCCACGGGAGCTGCTCTCGGCCGCACACAGGTGTTCTTGCGTGACAGGAACATGGCGGAATCAGATAAGGCCTCAAAAGGACCCAGTGCCATACTGACCGTGGCGAATCCCCATAGATTGGGAATAAGCCTGCTGCCCCATCTAAACTGGGTCACGGTGCAAGGCGAACGGAACGAAGTGGCCTTGGACCTTTTTGCTGCTGACGGACAGAAGATTACGCTGGGCAGACGGTATTCCATCAGCTCAGAGGTAGATGAGTCGTTGTTCGCCATCGTTCAGAGGACACGAAACGGGAGTCGTCTTTTGGGTGAGGCGAAAAAGGAGGGCATCACTCAGGTGTATGGATCATATAAAGACGTAAGTTTTTTTAAAGGATACAAATGTTTTTCGAAGATTACTAAAACCAAACATTCGTCGGTTAGCTAGGATGTCTTGCGTTTGATTGACATGCGTGTATGTCAAACAACAAACTAATTATGCCGGTTTTAATATTATTTTGACATTTATTTTCCGATCCGATTGGCTTAAAATTGAATTCGTAATTTTGAAATATTAAAAAGTTCTGTAAGTAGAACAAAAAATAATAAAAAACAAGAAAGGAAGTTAGCTTCGGCAGGCCGAAGTTTGTTTACCCCTGCAGTTCAAATGCATACCTACCTTCCTTAAAAGCTTAAAACGATTTATCTCCATGTGTCCCGTTTAGGTATATCAGATGTATCAAATAAAAACACCTCTTAACGAGGTAAAAAACTAGTGACGATCGCAACTTTAATATATAAAAGTCCTGTTATCAACATTTGTGACGAAAAATTGTTGCACTCGTTATTAAATACACTTTCTAAAATTTGTTCATTATATTATAAACCCTCATTCGATGGGTATTTTCAATAGGAAAACAACTAAAACATTTATCCCCACCGGCCCCAACAGCTCCAAAAATAGAAATTTTCACTTTTTACTTTCTCCGCTCTCTCTCCCAAGCCAATTGATTTTCTTAAAGTTTGGTATGCAATCCTGTTAGTTTTTGCGATACCTTTCGATTGGTGTATGATCATTATGATCGGACCATCACAGCAGATTTTCATTTCTTCGTGTATATGGGCGGTTCTTTTACAAACCGAACACCTTCTATTGGCTCCATATAGTAGTCGCCTTCGCACACTCTCCTTGTGCACTTCGTCACTAAATGGACTGCCGTTCATAGTGATATTGGCAACTTTTTTAGGTTTGGGTTTTAAAATGTCAGAAATCAAAATGCCTACTTCATGACGAAAAACGTATAATGTTCGAATATTCCTATGAGAGCCATAAGATATAGTGGTCCGATCCGGCTCGTTCCGACATATGTAGTAAAAATAACACTTTTGGAAAAGTTTCATCGCGAGAGCTTTAGAACTGAGACACTAGTTCGCATAGAAACGGACAGAGACAGACGGAAATGGCTAGATGGACTCGGCTATTGGTGCTGATCAAGAATATACAGTCATGTGAAAAATAATAGACCTGCAACAAAAATGTTTCAACTTACGTAAATCCATAAAAAAAAAAATCAAAAAATTTCTTACTAGATATCTTCAATAAATGCTTAAACATGAAAAAAAAATTGACTTCCGAAAAAAATTTAACATGGTTTTGGAGATTTTGATTATTTTGCGTGACTGCATCAGTTTAACATGTGAAAAATAATAGGGACACTTGCCAACAAAATATTGTAGTTTTTACAATTTAGTTTTTCTCACTAATTTGGTGATACAAAAATAATCTTTTAAAAATTAAAAATCTAAAAACTTGCATTCAACAACTTTTTTTATTGAAAACGAAAAGAAAACTGGCTTGCATCGTGTAATTTAAAATTTACTCAACAAAATTTTAAAAAAATTGCCTTTTCTTTCGTAAAGGGATTCGAAAATTCAGGAATTGTATCCAAAAGTAATAAACCGTTGTAAAAAGTTCACCGCACGAGGTTAAAACTGTAGACAAGACGCGTTTGTATTTCCTAATCGTCAAAAGTCGATTATTCTTTAATAAAAACTTATTTTAAATGCCTTTAAAACTTGGAGCATAAAATTTAAGGCCAAGCCAACCAAATATAGACGATACAAAACCAGTCAAATATTATTCGGCCCTGTTCTAGTTTTCACTTCCGAAAGATTCACACGGAATCGAATTTCTCAGACCTATTCCAGTACTCACTTCCGAAAGAATTGCAAGGATTTAAATATCCATCGTTGTTACTCTGTTCACTTCCGAAAAATTCACATGGAAACTTTCCGCCAAGCATTTGACAGGAGGACTTAAATCCGCTAGCATGAAATTAAATTCACTTTTGAGTGAAAACTGGAACAGGCCGGATAGTCTGTGCTCAGAATTATATGTCACGGCCTGTGATGAAATGGCTCAATGCCCAACGGTCCGATGGCACACAAATATATATGTTTGGCCTTTTTTGCTATAGTTCTAATTAAAAAAGACCGATAGTCACCGCCTTAATGTTAAAACTCACAGTTATTCATTCCATTTTCAACGAAGAATGATAGGCTATGGTATGGGGCCTAATCTCGTGCAACTTTGTGTGGTCCCGTCTATCGTATTGAAGACACGAATGACAACAGAGTCTTAATGAAAACGATCATTGAAGTGTTTTTGGTCCAGATAAAAGGCAATATGCCCCTTAAATAGGTGTTTCAGTGTGTAAACAATACGAAGCACACATTGAATGATGCAAAAATGTAGTTTTCAAATACAAATGTCGACTGATAAAGTTGATATGCTCAGTCCCCGGACCTAATTCTGATCAAATATATATTGTACACTCTAAAAAAAAGCCTTAAAGAAAAAAAACTTTAACAATGATGTCATGTTATCCTAAGTTAAGCAAACAAGGATATTTTATTACAAAATATCATCGCTAGTCGAAAATAACGTTTTGCGAGAAAACTTTCAACCAATTAAAATAATAAAAAAGTATAAAAAGAAGCTAAAAAACAAGAAAGGAAGCTACCTTCGGCCAGCCGAAGCTTATATACCCTTGTAGATAAAAGAATACTCACTCGGTGCAGTTCCAGGGATTCCAGATTCAGCGTTTCGATTTATTTCAATTTTGTTTTTAAGTAGTCAAGAATCAAAACGCCTACTTCCTACAAAGTTACAATGAATTTTCTTATATTTGTTTGGGAGCCTTAAGATATAGTGGTCCGATCCGGCTGGCTCCGACATATGTACTACCTGCAATAGAAAGAAGACCTTCGGGAAAGTTTCATCGCGATAGCTTTAAAACTGAGAGACTAGTTCGCATAGAAACGGACAGACGGACAGACGGACATGGCTAGATAGACTCGGCTATTGGTGCTGATCAAGAATATATATACTTTACGTGGTCGGAAACGTCTCCTTCACTGCGTTGCAAACATCTGACTGAAATTATAATACCCTCTACAAGGGTATAACAAGAGAGAACGCTATAGTCGGGTTAGTGTCCCGACTATTTAATACCCGTCACTCAGCTAAAGGAAGTGCGAGCGCTGTACTCGGGTTCGTGTCCCGACTATAATCGTAGCTCAGCTAAAGGAAGTGCGAGGGAGATAGATATATGTAGATATTTTGACTGCGTATAACTTTTTAATGAATGGTCCGATTTGAAAAATGTCTTCTACATTTTGATAGGTATAAATATACACAACAAAATTGCATTTATACTTCTCGGAAATCTTTAAAGATATGGGCGCAAGACACATTTTAAAATCGTTAGTGGGCGATTGTGGGCGTTAGAGGGGGCGTGGCGCTCGGCTGAAATAAGCTTGCGCTGCGTAGGAGGCCCAAGAATATGTGTGGAAAATCTCAACCTTCTAGCTTTTGTAGTTTCCGAGATCTCAGCGTTCATACAGACATACAGACGGACAGACAGACAGACAGACAGACGGACAGACGGACAGACGGACATGGCTAGATCGACTCGGCTAGTGACCCTGATCAAGAATATATATACTTTATGGGGTCGGAAACGCTTCCTTCTAGCTGTTACATACTTTTGCACGAATCTAGTATACCCTTTTACTCTACGAGTAACGGGTATAACAAGAGAGAACGCTATAGTCGGGTTGGTGTCCCGACTATCTAATACCCGTCACTCAGCTAAAGGGAGTGCGAACGCTGTACTCGGGTTGGTGTCCCGACTAATAATCGTAACTCAGCTAAAGGGAGTGCGAGGGAGATAGATATAGAAATTTTGATTGCGTATAACTTTTGAATGAATGGTCCGATTTGAAAAATGTCTTCTACATTTCGATAGGTATAAATATACACAACAAAATTGCATTTTTACTTTTCGGAAATCTTTAAAGATGTGGGCGCAGGACCCATTTTAAAATCGTTAGTGGGCGATTGTGGGCCTTAAAGGGGGCGTGGCGCTCGGCTAAAATAAACTTGCGCTGTCGTCCTAAAACATGTGTACGCAGATCAAGTTTGAAAACCGACCCGATCGGACGTCTATATCCTATAGCTCCCATAGGAACAATCGGATATAGCTTTCACAAAATGAAGATAGTCCGAATACCGATAGTCACCGCCTTAATGTTAAAACTCACAGTTAAAACCAATTTCAACGAAGAATGATAGGCTATGGTATGGGGCCTAATCTCGTGCAACTTTGTGTGGTCCCGTCTATCGTATTGAAGACACGAATGACAACAGAGTCTTAATGAAAACGATCATTGAAGTGTTTTTGGTCCAGATAAAAGGCAATATGCCCCTTAAATAGGTGTTTCAGTGTGTAAACAATACGAAGCACACATTGAATGATGCAAAAATGTAGTTTTCAAATACAAATGTCGACTGATAAAGTTGATATGCTCAGTCCCCGGACCTAATTCTGATCAAATATATATTGTACACTCTAAAAAAAAGCCTTAAAGAAAAAAAACTTTAACAATGATGTCATGTTATCCTAAGTTAAGCAAACAAGGATATTTTATTACAAAATATCATCGCTAGTCGAAAATAACGTTTTGCGAGAAAACTTTCAACCAATTAAAATAATAAACAAGAGAGAACGCTATAGTCGGGTGCCCCGACTATCAGATACCCGTTACTCAGCTAAAGGGAGTGCGAAGGAGATGGAGAAAAACTTTGATCCGCGGTAACTTTTTAACGAATGGTCCGATTTAAAAAATTTCTTCTACATTTCGATAGGTATTGATAAACACAATAACACTGCATTTTTACTTTTCCAAAATATTGAAATTTTTAAAATCGTATATAAGCGATTGTGGGCGTTAGAGGGGGCGTGGCACCCTTTTGAAACAAACTTGCGCTGCGTAGGAACTCCTAGAATCTGCATGCAAAATGTCAATCTTCTAGCT